CTGTGTTTTCTGTCGAGGAAACCAGAGCGCAGACGACCAAAGTATGGGACTACCCAACCGTTGAAGCAGCGTTCATAGCTCACGTCTCAGCGATTATGCTGACCATGAGGGGGACGTATAACTACCGATTAGAAAATCGCCAAGACACTGCATCGATGAGCGAGGTGCGCAACATTTTTCGCTGCGGAACCTTAGGTGCGCCACTGACCGTGAGAGGACCTGTGTTCCGCGCTGCGGAATGCGTAAAGTCGCTTTCTCTCCTGATGAACCACACCCCAGAACAGCGGCAAACGACCGCGGATGGATACAAACGCCAGCCGCGGACGAGCATCCAATTTGTTCGTCTACTCCGACCGAAATCGAACCCCTCATATACGGTTTCTTTCTTTACTAACTACTTTCTCCTATAGTCCTACCTCGAATGGGGAAAGCACAGACGATTATAAAATGGCGCTCGGCTGGCTCCAAATCCCAATGAGAAAGGTGGGAGTTTTAAAACTAAGCGTTAGCGGTGGCGGTGAACCCCGAGGAGGATTATTCAATTACAGTGTAGCAAAAATTCGAGTGTGTGAGATCACAGTAGTCATAATCGGCTGTTTAGGCCAGAGAGCGCAGGCGGGAGCATCAAATTGAAGCGGTTTAAAGGACCGAATTCAAGTCAGGCAGCTGACGTGTCTCTATCGCATAGGAGCTTCAGCCTATGATTTGGAGCGGGGACTTATAGCCATTCATACGTTGAGGATGAGTTCCAGTGAGGAGAGCACTGATGGACGCGGCTCAAAGGCTGGTGTCAGAGTCCGCGATCCGCCGCAGGTTTCGCTGATTTTCGCGATTTGCGCGATTTTCGCGAAACCTGCGATGGATCACAGGAGTTGGAAGTGCCCGATGAATACTGCGAGGTGTTGTTTAATCCTGCTGCGAATTCTGCTTGGCAGTAAAGATTGGAAGACGAATGTTTGTGGTTCTACTTGTTTCATGTTCAATGTCTATTAGTTCATTGAAATGCTCTTGAATCGTTCCTATTTTGTTTTTTTTTTTTCAGGAATCAAACCAAACCAATCACAAAAATTGCAAGTGCCCCATTTGAACAATTGAAACACTGGATATGAAACAAGTGGAATCATGAGCAGTCTCCATTAAACCATAACCATCAAGCAGAAGTGACGGCGGGATTGGAGAACACCTTGCAGTATTGATGGGGCACTTGTGATTTCCGTGACCCGTCGCGTGAATCGCGCAAATCGCGAAAATCAGCGAAACCTGCGACGGATCGCGGACTCTGACACCAGCCTAAAGTTCATCAATCGATTGGTGGCGGTATCGGGCGCGTCACGAGTGTGGGGAGCACGAATTACCGAAATGATGGTTTTACTCAGTTTAGTTGCCACTTTTTCAGTGTTCCTGAATTGTTTTCACTCATCTTCAGAGCCGGAAAACAATACGTCATCACTGAGAAATAAGCTTATGGATTACGATTTCATTTGAAAAAAAAATCATAAGAAGATAGGCGATGCTCGTGCAACGGGCGGTCCGCAATCACCAATGGCCGATGTCAGACTCTGCGATTGGAGCGATTTCGGTCATGATGGAATCGAATGTGAATCGCGCGATTGACATGACTCCCATCATGACCAATCGCTCCAATCGCGCGATGGGCGCGATCACTCCCGTTGTGGCTGGCGCGCCCCCTCGATCGATACGTTGACTGAGGTATCGATCGAGTGGGCGCCCTGCCAC